GTCACCACAGACCAATGATTATACAGCTTAAAAAACATCAGTGCAGTGACAGAGGGTTCAGAAACATACTCTGTGTGTGTGTGTGTGTGACTCTTTGTGTGTGTGTGTGTGTGTGTGTGTGTGTGTGTGTGTGTGTGTGTGTGTGGAATGTGCGCATTGTGTGTTGTCAATCTAGACCCCAACATCAAACCACAGAGCCACTGACCAGATGTTTTCTGTCCTTTTCTCCCTCTCTTGCTCTATCTCTTGGCATCTTTCTCTCTTTTGCCTCATTATTTTACCTCAGAGTTTTCCCACACTTGCTGCAGAAGTCCAAATGAATTCATTTTTGCAGTAGTTTGGCTCACATCAAGCATGCTTAGCTTACAGTAAGGTCTTCTGCGTTCATAGCTGCACCTAAAGCCAATTACAAGTGCACAGTATCTTTACAAAAGGCATCCAGGTAAAAAGATTATTACTGACATAAAATACTTTAATGGTGTTGTTTTTACAACTAGATAAAAGTAGAGTTGTATTACTGATTTAACAGGATTCAATTACACTTAATTACTTTGCTATTTTCGTGCAGTTAAGCATTATTAATGCAAGTTACATTTTTAAAAAAATATGTGTTGTTTATAACTTATAACTGTATCACCATTAGAGACTTATAGACCCTAAATGAAAGAACAAGTTATATAACTTGGCACGCTACGTCACATCAACTAAGACCATATTTCTGGGACTCTTCCGCTTTCTCCATCAGCGGGATATCTTTTTGTTCTCCATCTTCCTAAGAGAGTCACCTCAATCTCTACTGAACAGAATAAAAAGTTAAACGGAGGCAAGAACTGTTGTGATTTCAAAGGTGACATGCTTCAATTAAAGCATTAACATATTGGAATAGCACACTGTCAAGTGCTGTCCGCGGTGCTGAACGATGCCAACAGCATACATGTGGAAAAAGTCCAAGTAAGGAGTTTAACAGTTGGTTGATTTTGTTATTTTAGATAGAACTGACCCTGGAGGGTCCTTCGTAAGCCTCAGTCACACAGGCCTAGAGACCAGTTGATGACCATCTGACAACTAGTTGCAAGAGAATGATGTGTACTAGGGCTGCAGCTATTGATTACTTTGTATTCAGTCAGGGGGTCAGCGGGTAGTCTGCTAGGTTTTCAACCATGAGGGCATGTAGTGCTTCTTACTGCACATTTCACCCAACCAGCATCTTCAGCAAAGTATGTCCAGACAGACGACCAACTGTGAACAATACCCCAATTTGATTTTCAGAATCAGAATCAGAATACTTTATTAGTCCCTAAGGAAATTTCCCAACATTGTCTGGAGTTCACATGCAGCTGCAATGAGCTTCAAAACAATTAGTAACTTTTTTTGCCATTTAATATATGAAATCATTTATTAATTTGAGAAAACAATTAGCCCGCGAACTCATGGATTAAAATAATTAGTTGCGCTCTTACTTTGTAAAGTCCATAAAAGAAAAAAGTAGAAACAACATCGGCACGTGCAGGATTTTTTTGTTGCCTATCACTTAAGAATACACACTAAACTTATGCAGTGATTGATCGTCATTTCATCATGACATTCTGCACAGTGGTTGGCCTTCATCAAATCAATCTTCACCATCTGTGAAGTCGGGACCTCAGCGGGAAAGACAAGGCTGTAAAGCTGACATGAACGACAGATTGCTGGCAGCGCCCAACATCTGTCCATTCTCAGCTGGAGTTACCACCGCAGAGGGAAACACTGGCTGACTGAAAGTGTACAGGTTGTCTTTACACGGTTATTTCTGTGCAACTGATCCATCCCCAAATGGAATTGTTTAAAAGTCAAATATGTCTGCAGCATACCATTGACAGGCGTGAGCTGTTACAGCAATAATACTAGATAAACTAAGAAGAAGAGAAGAAGAGGAGGAGATATGGTTGTTGTCTGACAATGTGAATAGGAAATTAAACAGTGCTGAAGCCAGACAGCAGACCTAGATTCTTGAAAGGTGAAATGCAGCAACACACGTCAGGTACAGCGATTACCCAAACACAGAGAGGTGTTCAGAAGGTTCAGGGGCTTAAGTGACTGAGGCTGAGAAATTGCTAAATGCTAGTCAAAACAGCTGAGGAACGATGACTCATCTCATAACTATTTTTTGCATTTTTAAATCAGAAAGAGAAAGTCTGTGACACTGTCAGGAAATCATGTGTCATAGAGGGAGGAGAGTTTTTAAGTGCCAGTAAAGAAGATGCAATAAGGGAAAATTAGCTGTTTATCACAAGTTTTTCAGCCGATTTAAAAGAAGACACGGATGTCATTATTTGGCTTCAAGTCAGTCAGAAATACATCAATGAATTGATCGTTTTCAGCTGATTGTTAAACAGATTTGACGGCTCTTTTCAGGCAAACCTGGAGTGAAGTTTGGCCAGCGTTTAGTATTTCAGACGGTTTGGTAAATTTAAAAAAAAGTGCCTCTAATCAAGAGGAAAGTAAGATCAGAAAGATGGATGACACTCCCAAAAACCTGGGAGAGGGAGAGATGAACGGCTCTCTTTCCTTCTTTCTGACCTGCTCTGCTCAGCTAGTGGTCTGGGAAGGGGAGGAGAAAGAGAAATGGGGGAGAGGGAGGGAAGGCGAAAACAGGGTGGAACAGAACACCCCACCCCCTGCTCCCCTCTCCCGCACAAACACATAAATGCACACAGCCCTTCAAAGCCGAGTGGTTTTAATAGACGTCCAATTACACTAAGAGATGACATCTGGGGAACTACAGCAGATAAATAAGGTGAAAGAAAAGACAAGATTCAGTCACCTCAGACAAACTCCAAATAACCAGCGAACCACTGATAGACAGATAGGAGAGAGAGGGAGAGGCAACGGAAAGAGGGAGGGGGCCAAAGGAGAGGGAGCCACACACGGGAGGAAAGAAGAGAGGCAACGCACCGCTCCAGCATTCAGACTCTGAGAGGCAAGGACAGAGGACAGACAGGGAGCTCAGCCCACTGACAGACGCACTACAAGAGAGGGGAGAAAGACGAGAGCTCGCGGGGGTCAGATACACACTCAAGTAACTTCAAACCAGCTCAGACAAAACAAGAGAAACAAAGAAAGAAAAGAAGAAAGTCTGGATTCTGTGACGCCTTCTTTTTTTCCTTTTTTTGGTGGCCTGGACACTTCATAAGAAACAGCATTTTTATTTTATTTTTTTCTTGCTTGTTTTATTTATTTTATTATTATTTTTTTTTACTAAGCACTTTGCCATCTTTTTTTCCTAACCTGCTTCTCCTCCAACCAGGACTGAGGGGGGATAAATCGTCTGGGACGCGTGTGTTCGTGTGTGTGTTTGTGTGAATGAACTGATGATGTGTGTTTTTGTCTTTGGATGTGAACTTTAAAATGGGATTTTGAGTGATTTTGAGAAACCAGGAGCAGAGAGTGGCAGTGTCAGGAGGAGAGGTAGGAGGAGGAGGCGAGAGGTCCCCGAGGAGCGCGCCTAGTAGTTCTCATTGTGAGGTGATCTGAGTTATGGTTGTTGACGCATTCCTGTGACGATTGTGAGGAATAAACAGCACCGGGGGACTACAGCGGCGTCAGCCACAGCGCTGCGGGCTTCACCATTACCCCCCGCTACATCAACGTTTATATTCCTGATCAACCTACATCTGCCACAGCAAGTCGCACCATCTTCATCCCAGCTGTTCTACAGGTTTTAACACCTACAGTCCCAGTGAGGCTGGGGTTTCCCAAACAGAGGAGGTTTAGTTGGGGGGAGTTTCTCCCACTCTCATTCCCTTTCCCTGCACCAGCTCAGCATGCCCCAGCCCCTGAGCACATCCACAGCTCTCCCAGCTCCACTACCATGTGTAGATGGACAGTGACACAAGGTGCACCGGCCGCCTGGTTCTCCTCCTGCCCCTGCCGTAGACCTCCTTCACACCTCTCCCTCACCTTGCTGCTCCTGCTTCTCCTGCTCGGACCGTCCTCATCCTCCCCGCTGTCCGCTTCGTCCGAACACGGCCGCAATGCACCAGCAGGGACTTCTCCTCACTTCCTCATCTCATACCCACCACCCTCCTCATCACCCACACCGCTTCACGCATCCTCTGCAAGGTTGCCAAGGGCGACCAATGTGTCATCGTCGTCTGCGACGGTCGTTGGCCGGCACGTGCGAAGCAGCTACAAGCATCTACAAGGGGACGTGCGCTGGCGGAAACTGTTCTCCTCCCAGAAATTCTACCTTCGCATTGGCGAGGAGGGAAAGGTTAACGGCACCGGAAACAAGGACGATCCATACAGTAAGTCATCTGCCTTTAATGTGTCAGCTGATCCTTTCTGGTGCAAACAGCTTTTAACCACACACACAGCAGTTTATGAAAGTCAGAACTCAATTTCATATTCAAGATCCTGATATGAGATCTTTCTTTTTTTGACTTTTTAAAGAGAGCCAAACGCAACCTTAGTATCTGTCAGTGGCACAACTGTGGCAAATGCAGCACTGCTTGTCCTCCACTTCATCTCACATGTTTATCTGTGGCCACTGATGTTTCCTTGTTTCCGTTCTGTGAGCACCCATGCACTTCCAGACAGGTAGCTGGGCAATAGAACAAGTAACAGAGCTGCGTGCCTGCAGCCTTTTCACCATGTGCAGAGGCAGGCATATTGCCTGACTACAAAGAGTTTGGGAAAGAAAAGCATGACAGTAGAAGAGCAGGAGAGGAGAAGAAAAAAAAAGTAAACCGGACAGATAAAAAAAAGAGCGATGATCCACTGGAACCAATTAGAAATTGCCCAGAGAAAGTTCTTCCTGTTTGAGGAAATATCTAAAACACAGCTATTACCAAACCCCAGGGGAGAATGACAAGTACTCTTATTCCTTGCTGCTATTGTGCTCTTGCTATAATAGTGTTGGGCATATGCTAACTATGAGGTTGTACTGACTCAGATATAAAGTAATAACCAAACGCTTCCTGCTCCCCCTTTTTTTGTTTTCCTGGTTGTGCATTTTGCGGGCAGGGAAATATGATTTTAACCTTTATTTATCCTGAGAAGGGTCACTGAGCACACATGCTTATTTGTCAGCATCACTCAGCCTCACATTCACACAGTTTCTCTTTCACACTCACAGTTCCTCTGCTGCTGGGAACTCAGAAACTCCGCCAGTATATTAAAAGCACCTTAAGTTTCTGAAGGAAAATAGTACAAATGCAAGGATGAGTTCAAAATCCACAGGTACAGCAGGAAAAAACCCCTGCCCCCCAAAATAAAAACAAATTATTTTTGGTTTCTAAAAAAAATGCTAAATAGCCAGATGGTATCACACAAATCTCACCAAAGCATCAGATCTGTACTGCAGCAAATCTAAATAGTTTTAACGACTTGCAAGGCTCATCGTAATCAGTTATGACTGATTCAGAACAGAAAATCAGCTGTTATCATTTTGTAGTGTGCGGCTTTATCTTCTAGTTGAACACATCTGGAAGTTCTCCAAGTCTGCCACAGTCTTTTGGCCTGTGAGCAGCACAGAATAACTGCATGGCCTAAGGACATACTGACAGTAGTTGTTGAGTGAGAACAGAACATTGCTCCCACATTTACCTGCCCACAGTCTGCCTGCCAGTTCACTGAATTAGATGGGTGATGTCCAAAACTCAAGCTAATATCTTTATTATTAGAAAACAGGCGTTCGCTGCATTACTGAATAGTTTTCTTCTAAATGTATGATGTCAAGTGTCTGTGTACTTGTTCTAAACTGGTCTTTATCACTCGCACACCTTCATACACATGTCATAGGGTTGCATGCATCTGTACTCGACGCTCTGGTGCTGTACAAGGCTCGCCTGCTGAGTACATGTGCACACACACACAGATGCAGACACACGCTTGAGCACAGAGAGGCCAGTCTTGCACATGGCCTCCATATGGCAAAGCCCACTTTTATTAGGGCCAGTGTGAATATGTGTGCGTGTGTGTGCCACTCAGACACCAAGGCTCTGCCAGACATGGCTGAAGGAATTTCAATTAGCGTCTCTTCCTCCCTCCCCTCGCCTGCAGTCCTCTTTGACACACACACACACACACACACACACACACACACACACACACACACACACAC